TAAATCAGTACATCTTTAAAATTAAAAGCCCTGGTATTTTTTTTGCCCCACAAGTATATTGTTTGCATCTGTTTTACAGAGAAAAACCTTCTGAGGACTTCTTAGTTCACTGCTTCTAGCACCTGTTCATATATGCCTGTATACCCAGAGCTCCCATCGGCTCCCTCCCCTATGCTTTTTATGACTGTCTCGCTATTCTAATAAAAGATGTAATCCATGTAGACACACTCTAGTTAGCACAGACTGACAAGCTACAGCAATAACAGGAAGAAACAGCTGTGGGGAAGACAGGGCAAATTAGAGAATCTTTAAGATTTTTGTATTTTGTCAAGCATAAGTATGCTTGCAAGACACATTCTGATTGAAAGAGCATAAAAATCCATCATTAAAACTATCTTCCATGACAGCAGATGACAAGATGACTAAACCCACTTCAACTAGTATGGCCCTTCACAAGACTTTAAATATATGACTATTGCAAGAGAAAATCACAAAGATATATAATGTTAAATTGGGCATATGTAAGGAATTGCTGCTGATAACTAAGATTGAATTTACCTGGCATATTTTCCAGCCATCAGTGGCTTTCCTGTCCCTCAGTCCGCCCCCCAGTACAGCTTGTAGACGATACTCTACTTGCTACTTGGGATGCTACAGCAAAGTGGGTTAGGGCCTTCACATACACTTGAAAGAAAAAAATCACGTCAAGGAAAGCTTACACTGCTGAAATTTGCAGTTACACGGATTGGAGAAAAGGTGGAGAACACAGTATGATAGACTCATTTTTCTTAAATTGCAATCCTTCCCAGTAATGCCTGTTTCTCGTATTAGATGGTTAGTACAATGGTATCTACCATTAACAGATCTTGAAAAAGGTTACATATCCTGAAAATCCATGGTCTCAAAGCAAGACACAGAAAAAAAACAAGGGACTTTAAACAACAAAAATAATTGTCAACAGTGAAAGAAAGTGCCACTTACAGAATGGAGCATGTAAGGGGGCAACTTGATACAAGAGATTTAAACCCCAAGCAGAAAACAGGGGAAAAGTGTTGGAAGAATAATATGGTTAAAGTAAATGAACTTTTGTGTTTCCATAAAGCAGCTGAGCAACGCTGTGCACACTAGTGAGGCAAAAGGGATGGGTTTTCATGATGATCTTGAACTTGACAATGCAAACTGTCTAACGGACACTAGGGAATTATTCCGAGAAGTCAGAAGGAAATCTGTCTTGATTAATGCAATGAACGCTTACATGAATCTGTTTTAAAGATGTAAGAAATTAAAAAAACCCAACTTTTAATATCTAATTAGTAAAATTTTTATTTTTTTTAGACATATCACAGGAACAGTGAGAACACTTATGTAGAAACCCGTAAGTAGCAAGTGATGTGCATGCATGCATATGGCCTTGTGTCCATTCCGGTAAGTCTGCAACCCAGCTAGACAAGAAATGGACAGGAATAAGAAAGAAAATCTCACAGTTTATGGGCCACAGTCTGTCTGCAATGTGTATATTGTCCCAAAACATTCCCCTCTTTTTTCCAGCTACTTCAATCATTCTGCATTTTCTGCTGCCCCCACTTTGTCCTTGGATCTGCACTCAGACACAACTCAGAGTCACTGTGTACATTTCCTGCTTTTGAAGAAAAGGCAAGGTGGTGGAGAGTCAGTGGAAAAGTGAAACACTGCTTTTTCTTCGTAGATCCTGCTATCAGCAGCAAAGGGAAAAGCTGGTCCTTTTATACCTTAAACCAAGAGGTATTAAGGTGCAATAGTGCCTATCTGTATACCCGTATTTCCAAGGTAATGGGAAATACACTATTACACACTAATATACACTATTACTGAGGTAATGGGTCCTCTGTCTTCTAAGAACCAAAAATAAAATAATCATCACCACCCTTTCTGTCCTAGACTGTCCTAGCATTCACAATGAATAAACATTGGTGGTTCACCCTCCAACTTCTGCTACATAAAGTGAAAAAGAGAGGTGTTAGCTCCGGATGGCCGAGGGGACAGTCACTTCACTTCTGGACAACTGCTTTAAAATAAGAGTCCCTAATTCCTAGAACAGCCCCTCTTCTGGGCAAGTGGCACAGACACAGACAGTTACTTGCTGCACGTGCACTTCTATTGTCTAATTGGCAATAAAAAAAGTACTGCTAGCTATATGAAGATGCTGGCAATAATTTGAGCAGTTTGGGTAATCTAAACTAGGCAGAAGTCCTTGCCAAGTACATTTCAAACAAAAGAAAAAGGACACATTGAAAAAAATACTTTTGCTTCAGAGTCTTTCAAACAATTTATCTCTCAGCCTTTACACAGTCAGAGAGACCCACAGCAGACTGGGACAGTAATGGCACTGCATCAATCAACTTCTTCAGTGGAAAAAGGAGCCCACTCTGTGAAGTACCTTAAGCCACTGAAACAGTCTTTAGTAACCCCCATAACCTCATTGTCCTCTCCATCGATTAGGCTATTTCAGAATTTGGTTTCAGCTCACATTAAAGACATACCTTGACAGTAAAATATATGTCCTGGTAGGAAAATAGTGGCATCTTTAGCATAACCTTACCTGATGTCTACTTAATCAAGAGTGGCATTTCTCAAATTGTGGTAAGGAAAATTAGTAGCCAGTCACTCCAAATTACTACGTATAATTCAAAGGAAATCATATACAGAGTCTCAAAAATGCAATTAAACTGCCTGGTAGGCATTTATTTAAAGCAAATGGAATTAAAGCACACAATCAAAGCGTCAAATCAGATTCATGTAAGCAGACATTCTTACACAGCTTTTTGCTATTCAGTTTATTAACATCTATCTTTAGCTATGACTTACTTTCACTGGCCCCTTCAATTCTCTTGATTGCAAATGCCTGTGCCAGATTCTGAGCATTAGTTTATTCCCCTCAATAACCTGAAAATTGAGAAGGGTTGTATCAGATTATTTTTTTTTTTCCACTGTTTTACTCTACCAGTAACTATTCAATCACAAATCTATTGCATATTCTATTCAGGTTGGGGTTTTTGGCAGTAACTGAGACTTCTTTAGAAACAGTTCACTACAGTTTAAATTCATTATCTGTTGCTAATTAAAATAATCAGGTTTATTGTCACAAAAGAAAATCCTGTTACAGAAACTAATGAGCTGCAACCTTCAGTAACTGAGAGGATGTGTTTACAAGCGTGAACACTCAGTGCCAGTGCCAACCAGGTCTCATTGGGATTAACCTTTAAGAATTTACTACTACTCATAAGCTTAGGTGGAATTAGAGGGAAGCACAGTCAGCAAAGTATCAGTGAATCAACAGATGCAAACAGAAACAACATTACAAACACTTCTCCTAACTATAACATTCATGTACTGCTTAAATTAACCTAAGTAAACTAGGGATTATCATTGGCTTTATGATTTTTGTAAAAAATTGCCTATTCAGGTATCTTGTCATTTTTTTACACTAAAAAATGTTCCCCTAGACAGGACCAGTAAGAAGCAAGAGATTACTTAAGATGAAACAATGTATTTCATTGCTTTGGATAAACTATTTATACTTAAACATACAGGTCTAGAAAATGTACTTAACAATTCCAGCACCTGTATGCATACAGGTGCTCCCTACAGAACCAGAGTATTTTACCTCATGCTAAGCATGTAATCCTGAGTCTTAAACTGGGTAATCTGATTTTCATGGGTGCTGAGCACTGCAGTTCCTGACTGTAGTAGTTGTGGATCATCATGACTTCTGACAATAAACTAAGTAATTTATGAGACTGATCTGAAGTACGTAAAATACGGAAACTTAAGCCAGTTTAGTTAACCACTGGCAACTTCCAATTGGTTGCATTGTACTTTACAGTGAGGAAGCTGTATCTTAGGAGAAATAATGGCTAGCTATCTGCTCTTAAAAATGGACCCACATCCTATCAGGCTAAGCAACAGTAAAGAGTGCCTTCTACAGCTAGAGATTCCATTAATTTGGTCCTCTGTTTGGATCAGTCTATCAGTATGGCATTAACCACCCCCAGGGTGTTGTATGAAAGCCCTACCAAGACAGTTTTGTTTGAGTTTTTTTTTTATTTGCTTAAAATGAGAAAATAAAATATTGGCTTGATTTTTCTAGATCAAAATAGGTTACAGTAGAAATCAATAAGACACTTATTTGATACCATGCAGAAGTAAATTAATCCCTCCCCTATTACAAGGAAGACACCAAAAAACCCCCAAATCCCTCTGGTTTATTAGGGCTTAAAAGTCTGTACTTTTCAGAAGACTTAAGAAAAACAAAATCAAACTGTGGTCCTTTGAAATAGTCAGCTTCTCCTCCAGGACCTTCTTTGAAAAAAGTCAGAGACACTATTTTCATTCTATTCTTGTTAGTTCCTGAAGGATGACAGCCTCCATCACTCCTTCACATGGTAAGAATAGGACTTGAATTGTTCCTCTGCTTTGTTTTTTGAGGAAAACCAGGAAGGAAGGGGATTATGAACAAGTGTATTTGCCCAGTACACAATATCTCCAGAACAGATGCTTCTGTTTCTGTGGTAACTATGACAACATACACGCAAATTTTAACAAGACTCAAGTCTTGCGCAAGTTATCAGGAAAGATTTAACTTCTTGATTACATGTTCAGAAGTTTCCACTAGCTCTTAAATCTTCTTGAGATTTCAATCTCTGAGAACAACCACTTACCGCACACAACAGAATGAGTACAAAAGACAAGTTGTTTTAGAAATTATTTAATTTAGAAGTGCATACACTGCCGCTTGAAACAACCATGGTGCGAAATCTTACTAACTCTCAAGTTGGTTGCATTGATGTAAATTGTCTTTTTAGCTTCATTTACACTAGGAAGTCAATTTCTCCAGTAATGCTTCTATTCCTTTTACGCTTTTATTCAGCTTCAACTTTGGGACAAGATTTTTCAGTCCTTTTTTGACTGTATTTGCCACTTTTTGATCAGCGCTCCGGAGAAGGCTATTAAAAACAGGAAAAAAAACAAGGATGTCAAAGGTCATCATGTAGGTCATAGAAAAAGAAGCTGCCCATGTAAGGAAACAATAACTATTTAGGAATAACATAGTTCAGGGCAGATTCTGTTACCTGCTATTAGAAAAAGATGTAAAACTTTCCAGAAAGCATGGAACACCAAGTGACAACACAACCAACACAGAACAAATCAGACTTGAAGGAACTGCAGATCTCTACTCAAAGCAGGTTCAAACATTGGGTCAGACCAGGCTGCTCAGGGCTTCATCCAGTCCAGGCTTGAAATCCCCCCAATGCAGGAGACAGCCCAACCTCCCTAGGCCCCAGCCCTGCTGCTGGGCTGTCCTTATGGGGAAAAGGACTGTCCTTATCTCCAGCCTCAGCCTCTTGTGCTTCAGCTTGTGCTGTTACCTCTTGCCCTCCAGCCACCCATGCACTGCTGTGAATGCCCCAGCTCGCCTCCATCCCCTCCTGTTGGTGCAGTGGATGCTGTTGAGTGCCCCCAAAGCTGTCTCTTCTCCCAGCTGAACCAGCCCTGGTCCCACAGCCTCTCCTCCCAGGCCAAGGGATCCAGCCCACAACTATGTTGGTCACCCTCCATTAAACTCACTCCAGTTGTTGATACCTTCCTTGTAATGGAGGTCCTAAAACTGGATACAGTGAAGTACATCTAATACACATCAAGCACTTTCTGTTCTTTAGACACTACTTTTGGAAAACAAACCAGATTTCCCAGATAACTTTTCTTCCTCAGAAACAAGGAAATTCATTGTAAGTTGTAAAATACTATTAGAAAAGAAAAAGCTTCTGTGCTATCCAGATCAACCTAGGCAGTGATTCTCCTCCTCCCCTTCCTTCAGGTAACAGTGAAAGGTTCTTGGATTAGGATACAAAATCAGTAGAGGTAATGGCACACCTAATTTGCTACCAAGCAGGCTGCATGACATTACAAGTCTTTATAATCCCTAGGATTCTTCTAAACAGCTCTGAAATTTGCAGCTACCTAAAAGCTTATTTCTTGCCTACTTTTTAACAAGGATTGGACATGGCAAGCTGAACTGAGTAAGACATAAAAGGAATTAATGAAGCTTAAGGTGAGATTTAAATTTTGTCTCCTTAGGTGTCTAAATCCTGTGCAGGATGGCAACACTATAGGCAGTAAAGCATGGAATGCCCATCTGACAACACCACCATTTTCAGCAACCTTATTCCTAGATATATTTCTATGACTATAACTAACAACTTCTAGCAGCAACTTCTGTTACACTTTCAGCTACGACAGTACTATTTAATCATGAAGCCTTCTTTAAAACTGAATTCAGCACAGGTGAGCATGATACTTCTTACCTTTTCTGTGAACCATGTACCGCTGGTAAAGCAAGAAAGTCAAGAGTAGTGACAAAGGATGTGCTGAACACATCCATACTTAACATGGAGAAATTCACATGGTTCACCACCAGGGACAAAGAGCATACAAAGTAGCAAGCCACTCTGCATTTTATGTCTTTCTAAAAATTAATTTCATCTGCCACCAGCTATACATGTGAAGCTGCCTTCAAACTCTCGGTATCCACAGATATTTCAAGACACTGTATTTTTAATACAGAACATCTACAGGTCTGGTAATACAGCCAAAAGACCAACATAGGTTTGGGGTTTTTTTTTTGTATTATTATGGAAGTTCTTCTAAGATCCAGTAAGCAGGCACCTATGTATTTTGTGGATATAAAATGTAACTTCTACAGGTTACAGAAATGACATATGGAAATCAATAAGTCATCGGGTGAAGTACATTTTTATCCATTTTCTACCCTGATGTAACACATTATTCACAAATTAAAAAATACTGAGGAGAGGGTCAGATATAGAAATCTAAGTAGACCAGCAACCATTACATTCAAGTACTTACAACACTTACACTAAGATGGATTGTAATGTCTGCAAAGAGCACTCTTGTTACTATAGGACTCTTCATGCTTGTACTAGGTCAGAAACAGGCCCCAGATTTTTTTATAAAAATAAAATTAAAAGCAAGTAGGGCAATGAAAGGAGAGGGTCCAGAGGATACCAGGTAACTAAGCCATCAAGCACTCACAATGTAACTGGTGAATAAGCTTAAAAGACTAGAAAGCCCAAGATCTTCAAATGGACTGACTGGGTAATTCTGAGTTTCAGATCTGCATGTAAGTGATAGATGGCTTCTGAAAGCCAACACCACCACAAAAATCAATCATAGCTTCAGGGAGAACTGGCAGCATCTGAAACTCACCTCTGTCTGAGGGATCTGAGCTTCTTTATGACAAAAGTAGTATCTGAACATTTTTTTTTTAAATAAGGTTTTTTAAAAATCCAAAATTATTTTATGTAAAAAAAAATTGCAGTTATTATCTATACCAGGCTAAATTAAATTTATCATTGCTGTATGATATAGGTAGTGTCTCGACTTCAATGCATGCAGTTAAACAAAGATGAGATTAATTACTGTGCGTTAGCAAGGTAAGCAGGTGTCACATGAAAAGGAACAAAAGCAGATGGTTATGTTTGTATGTTCTCAGCTGCCTAAACAAAAGGGCATCATGCCTAAAGAGTCATCAAGAGAAGTTCAAACTACAAAGGATTCAGATTTAATTAAAATTTAAAAAAAACCCCTAAAACCAAAATTCCAGCAAACAAACACTCCTCCCCAACACTTTTTATCTCTCTTTCCTGTTATGTGATTTTCAGTAATGGTGAAAAATGTTCAACTGCCAATCTGGGAGGTAAGCTCCCCTGCTTGGTAACAAAGCACACTTGTTAAAGTCCCAACCTGTAGTGCTATGAGAAATAGCAGAGAGAGGGAAAGATTGACATTCCTCACAGTCTTTTCCATAAAATATTCCACTCCTGTGCTGGTTTTTGCTAATAAGCAATTAGTAGTTTCCTGTTTTTTCTGCAAGTCTTCAAAACTTATTAAGAGACTGTTGTCACAGTGATAGCCAAACAGTTATTAAAAAGTTATACATGGAAAATATTCCACTAATTAACTTTGTGACTTTATTTGGACAATCAAAATAGCTTAGTACATAAACCAGCAACACCACATGTTAAATGAATCTCCTCAGCCTTGAGTTAGGGGAAAAAAGTCGAAGCATTAATACACCATCAGTGAACAATCCTTTATAACAAATCTCTACTGAACATCTGTGCGCGCAATCAGATAACTTAAAGGCATTAAGTGCATTTATTGAATTCTAAAGGCCTGTTATGAGAGGCAAAGAAGTGTTACCATTTTAGCAGCTGAACAATCTCAACCAGATCCATATGACTGTTACAATGTTGTGTAAACTCGTTATGTGTCTGGATTGCAACTACTCTTCTACTACCAATTCTTTTCACCGGTGGTCTGAATTATAATGACTAAACAAAGTTAGAATTAAACTCACATTAACTGACAGAAGTCCTATTAGTTAAAACAGCTTTTGATTCACCTTGCAAAACACCATGAACAGCAAAGTAGCCTCACTCCAAAATCATAAAGAGCAGAGATGGAAAGCAAACTGCAGGGAGTCTAAAGTAACTTTAGAAGAGGGAGAAGTGGGGTGGAAAAAAGAGAGAAGAAGTTTTTGTTTCTCAAAATCATGTTGTCTGTTTGAATTGTTTGCTGATTTTGGCTCAGTGCAAGTCTTTATGAGGAGCCAGCAGTGCAACGCTGACCCAGCAGTTCCAGAACCCAGACCACACACTTCGGGCTAGGACAAAACCTTGGGTTTCTATGACCTGACACTGACAGGTAGTTACAAAGTGAAAACAGCGATGATTAACACAGCTGTTGGCATTTGATAAAACAAAATGTTGTTAGTCCAACTCCTGTGGGGTCTTTTTTGATCTCACTAGTTGCACAGTTCACTGCTTCGAAGTTGTGAGCCAGCTAGCTCATCATAAGCCTTTGCATGGTCTATTCTTTTGTACGGTCTATTCCAAACACTTTTCTACTTCAGTATGAGACATACTTAGGCTCCATAATTAAGGCATCAACACAAAGCAGTAGGTCACACACACACACAAAAAAATCTGGATTCTTGTATGGGGCCGCCAGTCATAGGTATTTCAGACTTAATTATTTTAGGACTGCTCTTTCGAGAATTTTGTGCTTGTAAAACAAGACATGGTAGGCACAATTTTAAAAATAAATTTTATTTTTAATCTGAATTTAAATCTATCTTAAAATTTTAATTTTAATCTATCTTTAAAATCTTTTCCAACCTAAACGATTCTATGATTTTCCAACATTGACCTACTTCCTAGTACTACAATAGCTTGAGCTCAAGAAACAACCTATGCAAACTCTGGTTTGGATTTTTCCAGTATCCTGTTCTGTTGCAGACTTATCTGTGGCATGAAAGACAGTACACATTGAGCAAAAAATGGCATTTTGCTGGTAGAAAAAGATGTTCTCTTAGCTGTTCAAGAAATTAACACTGGAACCTAATCAGAAAAAGCCATGTGCCTTACATACCAACAAAGAATAATGGCACCTCGATTTACTTCTGCCCAGGTCTTCATATTCTCAATACCAACACGTTCCACCAATGTTCTTCCAAAGCAAACTGTAAAATGTGGGAAAGCAGTAGGGAGAAGAAAAATCAGACAGTATCTTTATATAAAGAAGCCTGTTAAAAGTTCTCTGCACTTGTGATTTAATCCAATAGTTTCTAGCCACCAAGTATTCACGAAGTTTTGCACTCTCATTGACTATTCAATGCAATGAATACCTTTATAGATGTTTGACTCCTTCCAAGTATTGCCTGAAATTAGACAACAGCAGCACTGTGCCACAGTTTACTAGTACAAAGCAGGCAAATTTGCCACTTCTTTTTTAAAAGGGTGTCAAAGGCTATTCATGTCTTAAAGAAAGCATCCACTCCAAATAGAGAACTTGATGACACCAACACAAGAGAATTATATGCAGTATACTAATACATACAATACCTCTGCTGAAAAATGCTGTTTTTAAGCACCCAACTCTACAACTGAAGTGACAGAATTTGCACAGATGAAATCACTTAAAACTTCAGAGCTAATCCTTTACTGATGCATGAAAACCACTAGGAACCTTGCTCCTTTCAGCTGTACTGATGCTATAGGGCTCTTTTTCCTCAGTAGGTTTGAAAGCCTAAATTGACTTGCAGATTTGTTATGCTAATGGCAAATACAAAAGAAAGAACCTAGGCTGACCGCAAGTCCCCAGCTGAATTTGAAGAACTGAGCTTCAGGAAAACTGCTCTTACAACTTGTACACTGAGCAAACTTCAGTAAGCAACCCACAAAACCTCACCCAACTGCAACAAACTACAACCTCTAAACAAACACTGAAAACTATTTTTCATGGCATTTCAGATCAGAATTCCATCTCAAGTACAGGTCAGTTTTTATTCAACTTGTTTCCTATGTGGTAACAATTTGGTTGTTTTTTAATGCCAATTCCATAAACTCAGAGCAACAATTATTAATGGTGCATTCTTTGGAGGAAAATAAAGAAATCAAAGGGAAGAGCTTGTGTTTAAAATGGGGACTGTACAATGTTAGCAGAAATAAATCCAGAAAACTATCATCATCTCAGTTAGGATACTCGCTGAAAGACACTCACATAAAACTTCGCATTGCACATTTTTAATCATCCACTCGAGGAGTAGCAAAGCAGCCTCCTTTCAGAAACATTTAATAAAGCCCAACTAACTCTTACTTTTAATGCAAACAGTGGATACCTGAACGTACTAAGAAGAAAACAACAAAAAAATTAACAAGGTCTGATAATTCTGCAAAGAAAAAAGCCCCCTAGACACAGAGAAGTTCCCTCCAGATTATACTATGCCATGCCCACTTCCTTTCATTTTTTGAGGTTTTTGTATGAGAAAGTCATCTCTATTAGGTTACAGCTTTCACACGAGATTTTACAGTTATGTAATAAAATAAGTTTAAAAGCTAAATTAAGATGAGAACATCTGTGCCCAATCTCTGCCTTCTGGGATATAAAATAGCAAAGATGTCCTATTTTTGTGCATGAATTATTGTAATAACAGTGATAAAGCATTAACCCAGCAACACTAATGAACACAGTAAAGATTACAGTTTGGGTCACAAGCACTAATGAAACAAGTCTTCCTGTTAAAAAGACTTTACTTTTTCTATTATTGTCCCTTAAATTGCTGTGCAATTTAGCAAACTTATCAAGACATTTTAAGCACAGAAATGAACCCTGTCCCAAATACACAGTAGACCCATGAGAAAAAAAAACCAGACCAGTACTTGCTTTGCAGAAAAAGCAACTGTATCGCTAGGATTCTGTTCATGTAACAACTCACAACAGCAAAAACATAGAAGCAATCATCTTGTTATTACATATGTTAAGTTATATGTTAATATATTAAATATGTTAATGTTATAAACATGTTATATGTTAAATTTTCCATACATTAGTATATTCAAAGAAATAAATGCAGCAATCTTATTTTACATCAGATAACTGTTGACTCTGGTTATAATTTGATCAAATAAAGCTGGATTTCCAACATACCTTCTTTTCCATTCTCTCTCATTTTTTCATCTTGCTCTATTAACCATTTCAAAACTAGATGGCCTGCTGGATGCTCTGCAATGTGAAGCTTTAAGGGGAAAAAACAAACCAAAACAACCCCAAAGTATTTAATGATAATGTTTCAAAATACAGTTACGTCTGTCCATAAGTATTCCTGCTTGCTTTATCCACTCTGCCCTCGGACACCACATCACACTGATCCATTTAGTCATCACCTATGCAAATATCAACAAGTTTGATGCAAGTATCGGAATACTTATTTAAATTGACCAGTTTATTTTTTACCACCTTCCCTGTAAAATCTGACTTTCAGATATATAAACCATATCAACCAATGTTTCATCCATCCCTTTAAGGACTTCATGCTTACTGAGCAGAATCTCTTGGTCTAGCTGCCTCTATAAGAACTTCCAGACTTTCCACATTTTCACAGACTTGAAAATTCACTACAGTATGGTTCACAGAAAATCACAGAAAACTTGAGTAGTTCATATGAAATTCTCCAAAACGTGCATCTTAAAGAAGGGGAAAGACAGAGCAAATTCAGAATATCTACGAAAATCTGGAGGGCATCTATCTTAAATATAGTGTACACAGCATTTTTTGTTTTCCAGTCTACAGACAGTATCTGACTGGGCTTAACTCAAGAAGAGGGGCACACTTTGAAGGGAAGATCATACTGTAAAGACAAACAGCTATTATCTAAGATCTTTCATTGCATGGAGATATGCGTACCTGAAAGCTAAGAGACCCTATCATTCTCAGTGTAAACAGTCAAATGAACTATCAAAATTTACCAACTGCTTGACTGCATAGCAATAACATTAAAAGAGAGACTGTGCAACATGATTGTCAGCTACTTTCCCACTAAGTGTTTAAAGCAGTTCTGAAAATTCACGATCATGAAGTACTTTGCTCTACTACTCAGATGAAATGCTGGCTGAAGCCTTCATCACTCCAGATGCAATAATAATAAACTATGAAAGGAAAATGTCAGAAAACAGAGATCACGTCTAATGTATGAGTGCTATCAGGGCAGCGTGTTGACATCTTATGTAAAGGAAAAAGTGAGCAGACTTCATTTTAGTAGAACCAAATAAGCAAATGCTCTGTGCATTTGCAAAGATTTCAGCACCTTGTTCTCTGTTACATTACCTGCCCATCATGGCCACCTGGAACCAGCTCTTCCGCTGCTAAATTCGCAATTGCATCTAGTGCAGGCTGGATGTCACCAAGAGCTGTTCTTAAGATGTCAGCAACCAAGACAAAGGTAGATTTGTCTATCACTACTTCTTGGGTGTGTTCTTGCAAATATTCTAGCAAAGGTGAGGAAATAGCTTCCAGGAGTTCACGACGGCGGAGTTCAGTATTCTTCTTACTGATGAAAGAGACAGCACACTGCTGTAGAAGACTTGCTTTGTATGCCCATCAAGCAACAAGAAATTCAGAACATATACGCTATTTCAGACTGCTATAAATTACTGGAAGATCAAAATAAAGCATTTTTCTTCCCTCTGTTTCACAATAATTTAACCTCTGTTGATTTTCTATTCATTCTGTTATCTCAACTACTGAGATGTATTTCTTAAACAGCTCACTAATAATCTAAAATTGCTCCTTCTTAAAAAACTGATAAGCATCAACGTCAATACCAGAGACTGAATTCAGATTAACAATTTCCATTTTTATTGCTAGATTTTGAGATATATTTTTATGCAACTCAAACCACCAATAATGCATATGAAAAATCTTCTGCTACGCCAAATTTGATATATGAGTTTAAACAAAGAACACATCACAATTTTTGCCCTTTACAAAGGGGGTAAATTGCTGATCACCAATACATTGCTGGTCACCAACCATCATATGTGAACTTTAAGCCAAAAATGCAAAAAATAAGGACTACAGATTAACATATCTAATAATACTTCTGTATTATTTTTATATATTTACATTACTTAGATATGTTATGAAGAAAAGCTGAAATTAAATCGATCATGACAGAAAGTTGCGTGAACTCTTCTGGACTTTAGGGAAAACAACTTAACCTTCATATAAGTTACCTATAGGCATTTCCATCTCCCTGTTGCAGAAGCATGATGATTTCTGGAACAAAATGTGCAGGGTCTCTAGGACTTAGCAAGTACAACAAGACCTTCTTTCCATATTTGTTGTTTATTATATTGGGCAAAGAAGCATTTATTTCCTGTAGAAGTAAACAAACAGCAACAAAATGTTAATGAAATAATAGTTTTTAGCTGTCAGTAATTACTGATTAACTTCAAATGCAAAGCTTAAGAAAACTACATACCCTGAATAAGATTCTTATCTGCTTGTGAAATTAAATAAAAACCTCTAATCAGAATAAAAGTTTGGAGAAGTGAGAGAAATAAAGAAAAAAATTAAGGTTTAAAATATATACATCAGATGCGTCAATATCACCGATTAGAAAATACGACAGAAGGACAGGATTTGTTTTCACTGATACATGCAAGTATAAAGAACAACACATATTCTGGTATGTCATATGCTGCACAAGTATAACCTCAGTAAAAGTCACAACCTCAGCAGACCAGACATAAAAAGGATCACCTACCACATCACCTAAGAGCAAACACTGATACTATGCTGACTTTCAAGACAGTGTACATAAGTACCTAGACAGTAATTTCAGTCCATGGGAAGGAAAAGTCCATCTTAAACTGATACACCTCATACACTTGTGCACTAACACAGCTGAGGAAGAAATGCATTAATATGCAGGGGAGTTTTCTTCCTTATAGAAACATGCTGTTATATTCAGATGGAAGCATCTATATTAGCCCATCTGTTAGTACTCAAAATTTTGTCAGCTTCTCAACAAATGCACTTTCATACAGCAACACGCATTTTATCCAAGTTCCAAGCAGCACTGGAGAATCCTGAATACCATCCAGATACTCTTGATCATTATGATAATCCACTCCTGGCAACTTTTAATATACATATACCATTTGTGATTATCAAAGCAAAGGAGGGCTGTACAGAGCTCTGGGCACTTTCAGCGTATTTTGTAGGCCATAGATATTAAAACTCCCTTTCCCCCCCCATGAAAATCCTTCCAGCAACACCTAGAAAAAGATAAATAGAACAATTTAAACCAATGTCACCCTTTATTAATGTGGCGCCTGGTTGGTTGTCTTTGAGGGGAAGAGAAACAGAGAAAGATAGGTGGAAGCTGGCAGGAAATGGTAAGACAACATTCTTATTTCAAAAATATTGCTTAAACCTAGGCAAAATGAGTTTTAGTAAACTGAGATGAACATCAGCTTGATGCAGCATTGTAACTATGAATAAAAACCTATTATGGTAACCTTCACACTCCAGGCATGGGGCGGGGGGGGAATCTTTTCTGAGGAAAAGAATTCCAAACCAAAACCATGTTCTGTCTTCTCAGCCAGTACATGCAGATTGAGATGTATGTGAAGTTCAATTAAATGGATGACAAAAGTGCTGAAATATTTCAAAACTTAAAACAGGTACAGCAAATACTGAGTTTAGTACAAACACAAATATCATCTGCACTTTGAAATCAACGTATAACACAGCCATTTTGCATAAATGATAATATACGTTTCTTCATTACATTCTCCAAAAGTATACGTCCCCCACTGATTCCATTATTCTGATAAATTAGAGAATTTGGACCCTTTCAGTGCCAGAACTGTGAGAAAGTACTGGGAGAAACTCTAAACAACACAGGCATGCTGTCTCTTGTTGGCAATGTCTCCCTAGCACTGCCTGCTTGGAGTCCTCATGAAAAAGAGGGATTTACGCTAAAATCTGCTTGAACCCTGACACATGCCAAGCTCACAATGTACAGTTCCAATCACATACAACGGTTTAAAGCACCACACGTATTCTTTGGTCCTGGATTAAGACTCCATGGAGCCGAGAGAATGTGAGAAGGAAAGACTTCCTCAAAGGATTTAAAGAGCTTAAAACCCTCCCTTACCTGCAAATTCCTAGCCATTCTGCCAATCCGCGTAAGTGATCAGTTTTATAATACTATAAAACAGATTTGTCGAAACACTGCTTTTTCTCCCCCCAAAATCTTTATTATTTTCCTTACATTCCTTAAGCTAAATTTTAGTATGGACAGAATGATAATCAGTATAAGGTGTTTTAGAAATTTAACTGCTCCTTAAGATAATTTTAAGGGTTGGATTCTTCTACGGAGTATGCTTCAATGCTTGATTTCTAGATGCTTCCACCTCATCCTCTGCTACTAGATTTAATTCACTATTGGAAGAGCTGGTTTTGATCTTATGTGATTTTTTTTTTTTTCCTTTTCCCTGACATCCTTTCCCTGTTCCTGACCTCATATAAACCCAGACGGGGCAATTTTGTATGTGTGAAGGCCACTCCTCCTTATTCTCCTTTAGTCTTCTGTCCAGATTAATGCGGTAGGATGACCAAACACTAAACACTCCATTATCTTTGATCTCAGATGGTCGAAAACCGCAGATGATTCAGGAATTAAATGACACCTTGGAAGCTCAGCTAAAGCCAAACAAAGTATCTGAACTAATAAACCCTCCAGGAAGCAGAGTGCTTGTAACAGGAACGCCTCAATGATCTTGTACCACAACAGCTCTGATCTGTCACAGCTAATTTGCTTGGAACTTGCCCAGAAGTTGTTACATTGCAAACTGGATTCTGAAAACAAAACCCAGCTGTGATTACAGCTGATATACCCCAGAAACAAAAGCCATCTCCACACTGGGATGCTGTCATCTCCTCACACACATTAGAGAGGCACAGACTTAAGGCCAAATCTCCATGCTAGGGTACAAAACCCCAATACCCCTCCTATACGAAGTTGCTCAATGGAAGAACTGCTCAAATTTTTTAAAGCAAGCCTCATCATAACTACATTCTCCTCTTATGCATCCTCCACATCCAAAGAATTTGCCTCATCTTTACCTCCTTGCCACCACCTCTCAACCCCTCAGTCCTAAAGCTATAGCATGAGTCGTACTATGAGCGCATCACAACTTATACATCAACATTAATTATTTTGCTTGCATGAAAATTAATTGTGCACTATGAAGTCTCTTTTATCAGTGTGAAAACATAACTTTATGGTAATTTACAGATTAAAACATCTTAGAAGTGATAAAATTTGCATGTAAACATAATCTTAAGTCTAAACACTTTATGAAACCCTATTAAATAATTTTTGGAAGGAAGGTGGGGAAATGGAGCATTCCGAAAGGAAGCAGATGCAGACTAGATCATACTACCCTTCCTGTTCATTCTGCAATTCCATGTAGGTGAAGCAAAGCAGCTAGAGTGCTCTCAAGTTTCAGATATCTATCTGTATCCATTTTGGAAGCAAGATAAAAATATTACATGGATTTTATCCAGAATGTTAGTTGTCATTCAATTATCAACACATTAAGTAAAAATGTCAAGTTTTGAGAATTAATGTGAGTTAATGGTTTCAGCATCCAACAAAAAATCTCAAAGTACTTTTTCTTGTTTGAAGTTATGGTATACTATATCCAGGCCTGTTGCCATGTTCCTGAAAGTTTACTACAGTTTATCTCAAAGTATCACTTTCCGTGATGCTACTTCTGCAAAAGAAAAGAGCTAAATGTGCTAAACAATCTTTTTTACAGTAAGTTTGCACAATAAGGACATTCTAGGCACAGATATTCTTGGTTTGCCTGCAAAATGGATAAGGTGACATCCTCATTCTGAAGTTTTCCACCAATGTAATCTCTTGAAACACCAGCAGAGCTCAAACTTCTGTAACAAAGACACTGACTTTAAAGAGATTCCAGACATCCATTAACCAGAAGGAACATGTACAAAAAGGGTCACTGTCAGCAAGCATTGAATCTAGCTTTAAAACCAATGCAAATAAATAACTAAGCAGAACATATGAAAGTGCTGAGGTCTTCTATGAAAAGAAAAAAATACAATACACAAACATAATGAAACAGAAAGGTGGAAAGGAATTAAATGCTTTGAAAAAAGCAGATGGGATTCCTACTCTCATCCTCCTATACACTGACAAACACACTTGTGACACTATTTAGTATGCTTTTTTAGGAAAAATTCAATTACTTACTGATATAATTAACTGTTTCACGAGTTTTGTGTCATCGATGCAATCAAATGCTGCCAGCAAGACCAGATGAGAAAATTCACCCTGCAAAGATGAGACATCAGAACCACATGCAGTCAAGTTCTATGAATATACTAATTGACTTTGAATCAGTATTTCTAAGACTCTGTCTCAAACAAGACACAACATGAACCACAAGCAAATTCTGTCTACTGTCATAGAATGAGAGAAGCCCAACATATAAGCTCTCTCTGAAAGCAAGGCTTGTTAAGAGAAGCATGTTGTTAAAACAAAGGTAGATTAAGCTGATCTGCCATTATAAGTTGATATACTGCTTTATTGCATCCAAGCTATTAACCTAACCCTATTGTATAATCATAATTTGAAATCACAGGATTTGCCTTGCAGGAACATTACATAGAGAATTTACCTCTGTGGTGGATTTGCTTAAAACTGAGATAAATCACATACCGTATTTCTGGAGATCATGTCTCTGCAATGAGCCATACGGTCTCTACCGCACTGTTGGAGAGCAAGTATCTAGCATACTCAAAAGGGCACAACCCAATCCACTTGTATGTTAGTGAGACTCTACATCAAAGTGAAGCCAGACCTTCACTGCTCCAGTGTTGTTTTAGTGACTATTTGCCCACTGTCTCATATTTCTATGTAATACATATTTTATAAAATATAACAACTCATTTATTCTGGTACTAGAAAATTATGGAGAGAAACATTACTTAGACCAGTGGCCTCCACAGTGGGATGCACAAGACAATCCATTTTGGTGCAGGAAAAAAAATATTTTTTTCTACCATTAGTATATAAAAATAACCACTGGTTATCTTTATCTCATCCTTTTCAAATTTCTCTTTCTGTGTATGCTTTATAACATATACTAATACAGTAGTACATGTACATAATTTATACATAAATATACATATATTAGAGATGCATGCTCAGGGTTGTGTGATCAAAAAAATTTGGAGACCACTGATTGAGCCAACGTCAAATATTAGTAAACAGAACAATAGAGCAACCAGGAAGGGAAAAAGTTTAAAAAGCTTTTCTTCACAGTTGCAGTTTTGCCTAGCTCTATGAAATCTGGTTGCAACTGTTATTATATTGGTGCTGCAGTCTCCAAACACATTACTCGGAAAGAAATTAAATACAGACTTCTTCCATTGTATGCCACTTCAGCATTAATTCATTTTGAAGGTTTCTGACTTAAAAAAATTATTGAGCATCTTATAGGAAATATGGACATTCAAATGGCCTTTCCAATGACATCCCCAACACATCTTAATTTTTATTCCTCTTTTGTATGCATGTTATTTTACTCCCAACCAAGGAGAACTAACCAATGAGCCATATGAAGATGCAATATAAAGTTGGACTAAAAAAAAAACATTGTAGAAAAAAAGTTTAGGACTTACAATTAACTCAGCTACTTTAAAGGATTGTACTACACATAGTGCCCACAATGAAGCTTCTTGGTATGTCTCTAAATATGCCATAAAGTTCAATATATTTCCTATTATCTGATAAATCACCACTATTTTAAACCTAGTTTTACTAAGACCTCATAGTTGTTTCCACTACCAAAGGACATTCAAATTAGCCTCTCTCAAATCACTTGTGTTTCAGGGACTAAATAAATGGTTAATGAACACTCACCGTTGCTATTTTTTCAATATATGTCTTCATAGTTTTCACAATGACTTTTCTGTCCTATCCAAAAAGAAACAAGAAACTTGAATGAGCCTATAATGGCAGTGACTCTGAGCAACTAAATTGTTATTTACACCTTCTAAAAGATAACCTTCAATTTGCTTGCTAAAGCAAAGGCTATTTACCAAAGTCTCGCATTTGTACTATTAGTCAACACCTAGAAACAGTGTGAAGAGTTAAACCTGAACTGTGAAAGAATCAGTCCCAGGGAGGTTCTGTGATATGTTTACAAGTCCAGCCCACCAATGGGAGGTGCCACAAAGGGCAACTTGGAGAAAAAAAAACCCAAAAAACCAACAACAAAAAACCACCTAACCAACCACATATGTTCACCCATATCTTATTCATTACTTGCAGAAGAAGAATGCACTTCAACCTTTCATTTGGAAAGAAACTTACTCAACAGTACCTGAAGCTTTAAAATAGCAGGGACTCTAGCCTGTTGCAAAACCCGTTTCCTAGCAAGATTTTTTTGGCAGGAAGTTTCCTTTTGGCTCTTGCAATCACTGCTCAGGCTTCTTTAGACCCATTACTACCCCTAGATCCTAGCAACTTCATATTTTTTTCTGCGCTTTTTAACAAGCAGACTATTTTCATAAGTCATCTTTTTTTTTTTTTTACACAGAAAAAGATAGGCGGCATTACAGTATTTCCAAGAGATGATGACATACATTACACCTAAAGTATTTCAGCATACTGTATCAGCAGAAGGAACTAAAACACAGTACCTATACCATTTTCTAAGTCTTGGCATTCCAAACCCAAACATCGTTCCACATTATGAAGTTTTTACTGTCCTCTCTCTGCTGCCAGTTTCACCTGCATTAAGAAATCTCTGGGATGAATGAATGGCCAATAATCTTAAAATGGAAAAGTTTTATGTGTCATCTCCAAGAAGGCTGCTAACAATAAAAGGAGATGCTTCCACTATAAAAGTTCTAATGAAAGCATTTGATTCACAAAAAACTACTGCTTACATTTGCCAACAGGTAAAGCTGGGCCACTTTTTAACCTTGCTCTCAAATACTTAACTGCATCAAAATGTGTTCTGGCAGAAGGACCTACATGAGCAATCATATTCACAGTCTCAGACTAGACTACTGTCAAAGAGGACTGGGTAGACAGAAACCAAACAATACCTTGGGAGTACCATGCCATAAGCAGTGCATTGCTACTCGGGCTCCATCATGAGTGTGTGCCAGGTAGATGACAGCCTCTCTGATAGCTTCTATCATTTCCTGGGGAAGAAAAAGGTGAAAGAAAAGGTCTGAGAAATCTCAAGTTCGGTTGGTGAGGCCATGAAAGGATTTTTTTGTCTGCCCACAACACTACAGAGAGCATCACTGGCTCTACAGAACCACTCTTATTGCCTAGACCTATGGAAAACAGCCTCACAAGGAGTCAAAAACACTGTAAATGACATAAGCTTTCTCCCTTCAAAACTACACTGTTTATCATACTCATCCTATGAAACCAGAACTGTATTGAAGCTTGTCAGTTGTCCTACTACAGAAAATTCAAGGAAGGGTGCTCAGAACTCAGACAGAAATTAGAGGAGACAAAGACAAATATTCATTTAGGAAGAAAATCTTTGAAGGTGATGTAATTTGTTTATACATACAAAGTATTAGCCAGAAAGCAAGAAGAACTAAAAGGTCATTTAAGCACCAGGTGATGTTATAAATCAGATAAGATAAGACTTGGCCAAAAGTTAGTCTTCATATCAAAGGAATGAGGTTCTGAAGCCATCTGACAACACCATCAGCCAAAAAAGAAAAACTAAACCAAACTGAAAAAAACCCTCCCAGGTTACTAGATACTACTTCTGTTATTATCTGACCGATTTCTTGGACATGAAGCTCCCACCTATCTCCCTTTCTATCCTAGTCAAAGGTTCCAAGCATTTTACCATTTATTTAGAAACTGCTCAGTCACAACATGGTTGGTGTCACTAGCTGTATGCACAGGCAGAAACAGATCTACGAAAGGGGTTTCCAAACCCAAAAGAGAATATCCATATGCTACCATGTCTGCACAAAAAGCCAAGCAAGGAGGAAGAGATACACCCTTACTCCCCTGATTGACACAAGACTGTGGGTCCAGAAGCATTCCCTGACAAAGCATTACATGAAACCATGCACAGGAACGTTTCATTAGGTAAGATCTGGACTTTGGAATAGGCCACGAATAGTCCACCTCACTACCCTTAGCTTTGGGTTTGTTTACAGTAACACAGAACAGTTCAGGAGTCCTGTCCAGCAGAATTACTTAAGAGACAGCAAGTCCGAAACGGTCCACCTGGCCTGGAATGAGATGGTGCTGAACTGCAGAACCTGGGTGAGGCTGATGGACACTGCTTGAAGACAGATGACGGCAAGCAGGATACCAGCTTATACAATGTGACATCACACAGATGGATTTAGGCCTAGTTTTTGCAAGAATGGCCAGTGTAAGCTTAAACTGGAGTTTAATGCAGACATAGTGATACAAGCCATATGCTTGGTAAGGAGGAGGCAGAAGACAAAAGTTTTTAGCTGCTGACAGAAGGGTCCAATCTGATTGTATTTCGGTCAAGAGCTTTTTGGACAATGGCTAGAAGTGGTTAAGAAACTACACACTGGAAAGCTAAACTAATGGAAGCAATGTCCCTGGCTTTAATTATTCCCCAGCTATTGAGAAGGACCATTTAGCATGGAGAGAGAAAACATCAAAGTCAATCCATTAGATTTTTTTTTTTCTTTTTTAATTCAAATGTCACAAACACTATTGCTTTAGTGTCAAAGTTCACTGTGACTGTGAATCTCCATACAACACTACTCTCCAATCTATCTGGAATCACCAGATGTGTAAAACTCTTCAAATGTAAGATGTGTATTTTTGTCTAGTTATCTTACAACACTTTCACGACAATATTAAAAACTTTCCACTGAAAGGCAAAAGAAGACAAAAACCAAACAAAACATACTTACGCATCTTTGTTTCGGAAGAGCATAAGTGAAAAAGTCCAAAAATACTTTATGTACCAGTGAGTGCTTTATCACAGCCTCTCTGTATTTGGGAAGAGGAAAATAAGCAAAAAGTCCTCCACAAGTAATGACTTTTAACATAAGCTACCAATATGTCACTTGTATTTTAAAAGTTAGGCAGTGTGGTGTGCAGAAAACACACAGACATTCTGGATTAGATGTTTGGTATTTACAGTATGCAGAAGATTCTACCAAAACTTACAAATTCTAAAACCTAGCAAAATATCTTCTCCTAAAGACCACTGGAGAAGCTTATCCAATAATGTATTATATACACCACACTGTGGGATTTCTACCAATTGTCTGACTGGGGCAGGGGACACTTTAGTTTATAGAAGTGGAGTTCAAAATTAAGATAAGATATTCGTTATGACACTTTCGACAAAAACCATAGACGCTCACTATACAACACAGCAATGTTAAAGCTTAAAAGAGTATCAATATCACTGTCTCTTTTTATGTCAGAAACAAACCAGTTCATGCTAGATTGTCACACCTTATATCAATTTTTTTCCTTACTTTTGTGCCATTGGTGTAAGGATCTGTTTCATTTCATCCAAGATGGCCTCCTTCTTTTCAGGCTGGGCTTCTAACACTTTATCCAGTGTTGGGACAACTGGTGTCTGAAATGAATGCACAATCAGAGGTTTAATTGTTCCCAGTAAGCATCAGAGTTCACAGAAAATCATAATCTTTAGTGCCTTTCCAGTCAAAATTCATCAACAATATCAGAAACAAAATGAATTTTCTGCAAAACTAACAGATTTTACAATTTTAAAAATAAAAAGCTTATCTACTTGGAGTGTGTCAGAAGCTGTATACTTAAGTTTCTACAAATTGAATATTCATCATTAGCAAACAAAAGCTACATCTATGGTCTGAACTTTTTTGCCAGTTATGGTCAGCTCTTCATGAGACTGTCAAATACAAGGTAAAATACACAAAATTGACAGCATGTTAAGGGACTCCTGAGCTAAGCAGAAATCCTGCATGACAGTATGCGTGTGTCAGAGGGCAACACAGCAACAAGTCAATGAACTGAGAAGTTAACCAAGGCCCAGGAAATTCCAGCTTAAGAACAGCAGAGAGGAGGAATATATACCATATACCTTAAACACAGAAGTACTTCCTGGTATCTCATCTGAGCAATTACACTGGTAACTCTTGTAAAAGAATCTGTTGTTAGGAGAACAGTCTGACTAGATAGAAAATTAGAAGAAATGTATTTCTAACAGTCCCTGCTGGGAGGGGAAGGGGAGGGTGAAGAGTTGGAGGCAGGAGGGGGAAAAGTGAACTACATATTTCAAAACTCCAAGGAATTCAATGTCTCATTAAGGACTACATAGTAATTTCTTATAAACCCACATACTGTTGAGTCTCAGGTTTGCACCACAATGCAAGACTACTTGAAACACTCATGCCAAGAATGGTAGAATGATGGAAGCTAACACTGCACTTGATTTCCAAGGCTGTTTTACTCCCTGTACAAATTACAGCCCATGAACACAGCAAACACACCTTTCTATTACAGTGCTGCAAAATGCTTTACTAAAACTTGTAATAACCTGTAAAGAAAAAATAGCAATATGGTTCAGAAATGAGCTGTTAATTTCTTATACAATTTTAACAGAAATCTTGGGTAAGTGTGCTGTGTCGTACACCGGGGTTCCAAAGTCAGTCTAATGTAGTTAATAATTGCATAAAACAATTTTTTACTTTGTAGCAAATAAAACTATTTGTGCCCCTAATGGAAACCAACTTTCCAAGTCAGCAGGAAAGAAGAAAAAACAGAAGTCAAAAGAAAGGAGGTTGTACTTTTTAAAAAGGTTCCCACTGCCTGGTGAGGATCTACATCTAAATAGTTTAAGGAGAGTTTGGACTCAAGTCCAATAGTCTCCATGGCAAAAGAAAACAAAACCAAAAATTCAGCCTAAATGGCATACTATATATAGATACAGGCACATTCTGCCCACACTCAGGTCTCACGAGACATAAGACAGTTCTGACACAAAAGCTACCTACAGCATTAATGGGGAATTAAGCCGAAATCTTATCTCAGCAAGGGTGACTACTTCAGGCTAGGCACTATGACACTGTGATAACTGCAACTATACATTAGACTGTCTTCGATGGAGCAAAGCAAGCTCATACATGAACATAATACTTCTTACATAGTTCAAACTGAAAAAACACAACCACCTAGAACATAAATACACAAGTAATCATAACATTTAAACATGCTAAACTAGACTACCTTTAGACAGCTGACAAAGGAATTTAATCAAAAGAAATAGTAGCTAAGATAGGTAAGGTATTACTAACACAATACTTTAGATGCGAAAACACCTTAGACTAGAAAGTACTGCAACGTCACCTTGTAGACCTGGAAAGTGTTCCCATATAGTTCTTCTGTCAGCATATTTCTCTGCTCCAGAACGGCTTTGTCATTATATGCATATTCCACTACAGCAGATGCTTCGGCATGACGGAGCATTTTTTTCACATGGCCTTTAAAACTTTTTATTATTTCTGCAACTTGTGGTTTTGTCCTGTTTCACAGGGAAAGACAGTCAGCAAGAGTTAAAACTTTAGGGATAAGCTGACCTATCAACAGTGGGTTTTTTTTGGAAGCACATTTAGGTGATAAGTTTTACCATAGAAACCAGGAAATATATGTATCTGGATCAGCTTTATGGCATTTATGAAAACACAGTGAGAAAGCCAGGAATCTGGAGAAATCATAAGGCATTTTGAGGCAAAGAAAAGAAGCCACTGGATAAATTCTACAGAATAAAGGATGCCTTCCTGAAACACTAAGCAAAGAAAATTTTTACAAGCCAGTTTTTTGCATAAGGCAAAGACCAACTTCAAGCATATATTTGAGCTTTTTTGGCATATGTTTTCCTCAATGTGTACAGCTTTAGCTTTATTTTTTGCAAAAGGAAAACTGCTGTTAGCAATACTAGACACTCTCCTGTCTTGTCACTATTATAAAGATTTTCCAGAGACATTTTTTTTTATTTATGCACAACATAAGGGCAGCATTCACAATGCAACACAGCTAAGCAAATTCACTTCATACTCACCCATACATAAGAAACTTCTTCACAATATTTCTGGAATATTTCGACTTGCTCAACTCTACTAGGCTACCTAGAAGAAGCGAAAAACATTCAGCTGGTTTGATTTTTCACTACATTAACTCTACAAAACAAGATGCCATTATTTAAGTAAGTTTTAAGAGCTCACTAGGAACGATGCATCAGTTCAGCAGAAAGTTAAAAACATTCAAGAGAAAATAATACGGCTTGTTCTAATGCATCCTAACAGTACAGAAGCATAAAGGTAAAAGGTAAATGGGAATAAAGTACCTTTCAATTCTTCAAATGTCTCTTGCCTTTGCTTCTCATTACCATACTGAATAAAGCACTGGATCACTCGAGTTGAATCATGTGCAAACGCCAGCTACAGGACAGATATATTTCATTATCCTAGGCCATTCAAATGGCATTATGCATCTAACTTGTTTTAATGCACTTCCTCTCTGATATAATTTTATGCCACATGTAGCATATAATGCCAATTATAAAAGTAGTTACCTGTTTATAACAAATTAAGTTTTAAGGTTTTTCTACTGCTTTATAAGTACTCTGTCAAACAAAACATAGACAATACTTGCAGTTGCTGACAATTAAAAACACGCATCCAGGTTTTAATACTGAAGGAGAACCATGAAATTGTATCTCGTTTTCTCTCATGTTCTTTGTAATTTCAGAGTGAGTGTGACGATACAGTTCCACTTCAGCATGGAACACCAAGAATTATTTTAAAATCCAACATTTATTTCACTGCCAAGTTATATGTTTCAAGAATTAAGCAGAAAAACTATTTGGTATAGTTAAGTATCAGGACATTAACTTCTCTTAAAGAAAGCCACAAAGCAACAATTGTAATTAATCAAAACACTGAGTGGCTGGTTTTGAACTTCAATTAACACAGAATTTTACTAGACTAAAGCTCTTTGGCAAAACAGACAGCCTTATAATAGCCACCTGATAAACAAACCATCCCAAGACTACTGTTCTGAAATCCAGGTGCCAAATGCAGCCTTTCAACCCTGTTTTTGTTCTTTTTGCTCACAGTTTAAAAAAATTCTCAGTAGCTTTTGGAAGAACACGTTAGTACTATCTTATAAAAAGTTCATTTATATTTCACCATTCTTTAAAGAAGCTTTTGTAAATTTGTGCACTACAGCATTAGTTTTTCTTACGCTTTTAATTTTTCCATGAAGAAGCTTCTGTAGTTCATTCATTAGTTTTTCTCGCTTCTCCTTATCGCACTTCTTCCTACAAGCAAAAAGAAGTAAAACAATCTTAATTGAGGAAGCAGGTTTTTTGTAGCATGTTTTGCTTACATCTATAAATTAAGAAGCAAGACAGTACAAAATAAAATTAAGTTAGCTTCTGCTAATCCATCTTTACACTGTCATTCATTAAACTTGTAGACAGATGTAGTTAAGCGGTTTCTAGGAACTGAAACCAAACCAGACTTCAACACTTGAAAATTAATTCTATTCTGAGTAACAATATTATTAAAAAGAACATACTCAAATCTGCAGCCAGAGTTGCTTACAGATCCAAAGATCTGTAAGAATCTTACAGCCAAAACTGCTAAGCATGGACACTTAAAGCAAGTAAAATTAACTCCTCCATCTGATTTGGGGCCCTAGTTCTAGAATTACACCTGCCCATAGAAAGTATACAAACCTCTACAAAAAACTCATAAGTGATCCCAGTGCAAGATCAGGCTGAATCAGTACATGGTCTGTGCTTCAGGATTCAAAAACTAAGACAGCTCCTTAAGCATTTACTCACAAATTTTAGCTTAAAGTACAAGTATGCTCAATCCAGACATTTCTAGCACCATGGGTCACCACACTCTGCTTGAACCATCTACAGAATTGCATGTGATGTTATCATTCACCCATGGAATTTCACTGTGGAAATATAGCTTCATATAATTACAAGAGGAGAAAGAGAGTCTTCTTGCAACTTATGATTAAAAGCCAACTGAATGAAAGAAAAAAAAAGTCATTATTACCTTCTCACACTTTCCCATATTTGCTTTGATTTTACAATTATGTCATAATTACTTTTATCATTAAGTTGTCTGGTTTGCTTTAACTCCTTCCTTTTCTTTTTTAAGTCATTCCATTTCGGCTTCTTCGAATCTGACCCTGAAGACAAAAATAAATACATTTTCTACAGTCAATAAAAGAGGAGCAATGGAATCCTTTAGCACTATAAAGTCTGGCTGCTCTGTGACTTGAACTGCTAACTATTCAGGAGCTTTGCCTGCAGTTACCCAGCTAGCCAACATGAAAGCATAAATACTTAGTAAGCATGCTAGGCTAGTAATCCACTTCTAGAATACTGGAAGAACAAAGCAAACCCAATTTTTCCTCAAAGCTCTGTCAAAGGATGCATCGTAAACCTCTTAATAGCTTGAAAATTGACTCAGGATGCACCTAGCTAACAGCCTATGACTGCCTGAGGTAATTCTCCCTTTTTAGTTCATCCTGTACTCATACATAACCTTTTCCCTCTCTTAAAAGAAGAGCCCTAACTCAAAGATAGGTATCTGAAATCTCAGAGAAAGGAAAAATATTAAAGCCTTTTTACATGCTTAATCTTTTTACTCAGTCAGATTCCTTAAGCATGGCATTTTACTATACAACAGCTGTATACTGCCACACAACAAACTCAGTTAAGGTAACTTTATAGAAAGTGACATGAATGAGTTATGGAAAAAATTCAAGTATTTGATTTCAGTTTTATTCATACCTTGACAAAAAACATCATCTTATATTATATGGTTTCACAGAAGCAAGTCATGCCAACTATTACATCTATATGGAACACTAAAGACCCAGCTTTAAATTTTTAGACCTTAAAGCACCGCATGCACTTAACTGTCTTACCCATCCAAAAAAACCATGCTCTCCTTTTACAAAGCATATTATTGATATTTTCTATCACTCTCCTAAAGTAATAGTAACAAGCAAAACCAGTAACACTTTGCTTTGAGAGCACCGCCACTGTGTAATACACAGCAACTTTCAGTTATTCTTATGGACAACATTTAAAGATTTGTTTGTGGTTGTGTTTGGGTTTTTTTAAAGCAGCTTAATATGAACATTCTGTTGCTATTACATTTTCAGACTTCTAGTGCATATTCCATGTGAAGTCATTCTGCAAACATGCGACAGCAACAAGAAAATACTCAACACCTTCTACTGTCCTTCAAACAACTAGTATTTTTCTGCAGAACTTCAGAATCCCTCACATAAGATTGCACTTCTCATCTTACAGTGCTGTTTAACTGTCCCAGTGGAGATTTGCTTCACAGCAGAGGAAGGAACAACATGAAGTTCTCATGTACCAGAAACAAAGTTAAAAAAGAAATCCATTTAAACAGTTATAAAACCATTTATTTAACCTCTCTGTATAAACACAAAAATAAGATGTACAATGTAAAAAGCAGTGATAATACCGATGTCTTTAAAAAAAAAAGTGACTAGATAGTTTGGACCACAGAAAAAATAATATAAAGGATAATCAACTTTGTTTAATGAATTTTTGTGTTCCAAATTTTATAGCCAGTACTTTCAGAACAGAACATTAGGTTTCTAAAACAGTCTATGAAAAACTCTGTAGTTTCTAAATTTGTATGAAAACAGCCAGTTTCAAGCTAGCCACTTAACACTGGCATTAAAATAATTACAGCTTTATGATGGCATACCAATTATTTAAATTTGCTACTGCATCTTTACTTTTGACTTCCAAGAAAATCCGAAACTGTTGATTTTCATGACTTTGGCCTCAAGCTTTGTCAGGTGAAGTAAATTCTTCCACAGCAAAGATTAAATGTGAAATAAACTTGGGAGTCATTCAGCCAATTGGGACAGGTGATAACGAGGCAGGGGCGAAGAGGAAGACCTAGATGAACAACGTGTTTCCCAAAACCTAGTTTCCATTGATATCCAAGCTTAAAAATCTGCTCACCTCCCTCTTCACCATCCTGAAGCTTCCTCTTCTTTGCAAGCTTTTCTGATTGCTGTTTATTCTTGAATTGTTTGACACTAGCTCTTCCAGGTCTTAACTGTCCTTTCACAAATTTATTGGAAATTGGTTTAGGCTTTCCCTCCTCATCTCCTTTGTTAAGAAGTTTCTTTGGTGGACCCGAATCTATTAACCAGGAAAACAGAAATTAAAATGTTATCCTAGAGCTAAAATTTCTTCAAAATAACAAATTACTGTAACAAGAGTTAAACTACTTTGTAATAACAATTATATATGTAACAATAATTCTTATATGCTTCTCAAAGATGCTGTTCTCACTGCAGTCCCTGGGTGTCCCAGTTTTCCCTAGGGAAGTTTTGCCCAGGCATTATTTTCTGGGCAGCAGTAAAATGGCCCAGGCATAAAAAGGATTAGTGTAAACTAAAAATTTCGCTACCCCTAATATCAAAGTCATCAATCCCCAAATCATCTCTTCACAGGTTATGGTCAAAGCTTTTTTGACATCATCTGTTTTAAGCAGAAGACAGCAAACACTGAAAGGCATCTTCTCAATCGTAACCCACAGCACTTCACACACCCTACCTTCAACTCTCAAATAAACTTTTTGTTAATGTGAGAAAGCAAAGCCTAGAATCAAAAAGTTATCAACTTCAAATTTTTAACTAAAAGAGTATTTTAGGTCAATCAAATAGAGCTGAAGAACTTGCAATGCAATCTATTTAAAGAATTTCAGCTGTACTTTTTCCAGGTTATGTGATCATACAGTCAGTAGTTTTGACTGCAAGATAGAATCATAGAATGACTCAGGCTGGAAGGGACCTCTGGAGGTCTTCTGATCCAACCCTCCTGCTTATGCAGAGCCACCCAAAGCTGGTTGCTCAAGACCATGTTTGAGCAGGTTTTGACTGTCTCCAAGGTGGGAGACTCCACCATCTCCCTGGGCAACGTGTGCCAGTGCTTGGTCATCCTCACAGTAAAGAAGTCTTTCCTGATGTTCACAAGGGAACCTCCTGTGTTTCAGTTTGTGCCCACTGCCTTTGGTCCTGTCCCTGGGCGCCACTGAAACTAGCCTGGCTCTGTCTTTGCATCTCCCCTCCAGGTATTTGTATACATTGACAAGATCCCCCTTCTCCAGGCTGAACAGTCCCGGCTCTCTCAGCCTTTTCTCACAGAAGAAATGCTCCAGACCCTTCACCATGTTTGTGGCCCTTTGCTGGGCTCTCTCCAGTATGTCCATGTCTCTCTTGTACTGGGGAACCCAGAACTGGACACAGCATTCCAGGTGTGGCCTCACCAGTGCTGAGGACAGGGCAAGGATCACCTCCCTCAACCTGTTGGCAGTGCTCCTCCTAATGCAGCCCAGGACCCACTTAGCTGCCTTTGTCACAAGGGCACATTGCTGCTTCACGTTCAAATTTGTGATCACAAGGAACCCCAGGGCCTTTTCTGCAAAGGTCCTTACCCCCCAACATGTACTAGTACATGGGGTTGTTCCCCCCCAGGTGTAGGACTTTGCCCTTCGCTCCTTGTTGAGCTTCATGAGGTTCCCATCAGCCCATTTCTCCAGCCCTCTGAGGCCCCTCTGGAGGGTAGTACAACCTCTGGTGCATCAGCTACTCCTTCCAGTTCCGTGTCATTGGTAAACTTGCTGGTGGTACACTCTGCCCCATCATCCAAATCATCAGTGAAGCCATTGAACAGGACTGGACCCACTAGTGACTCCTGGGGCACACTGCTAGCACCAGCCTCTAACTAGACTTTGTGCCATTGATCACCACCCTCTGGGCCCAGCCATTCAGCCAGTTTTCAATCTACATCGCCGTCTGCTCATCCAGCCCATAATTCATCAGGACCTCTGCAAGGATCTTATGGGAGACACTGTCAAAAGCCCTACTGAACTCTAGGTAGACAACGTCCATTTCTCTTCATTCATCTACCAAGCTAGTCACTTCATGAGGTAAGTTCACCACGATAAAAAATGAAGTTCAAGCATGCCTGCGCACTACAATAATCGCTCAGTCAGGTCTCCCATTAGGCAGCCTTTGCCTTACCATTATCTTTTTTAAATTTCCTCTTCCCGTGTGGCACTTTTCCACGAGGCGCTTTTCCACTCTTCCTCACGAACTTCTTTTTACCCTTGGTTTCCATTCCGCCAACACTGCAAACGGAGTAAGAGACAGCGTTACGGGAACGCCGTGGCTCCCTTGCTAACCACGCCAGGAACAGAAAGCCTCCGCTTCCCTCGGCACCGGTTAACACGGAGCTAAACCCTTCCCAGCGGCGGTCGCCCGTCCCTAGGCGGGCGGTGCGGGACCAGAAGAGGTCGCCCACCGCCCGGTCTGCGCGGAGGCTCCTGTAGGCAAAACGGCGGTTCAATGGGCCCGGGCGCCCGCCGCCCCGGCCCGGCCCGGCTCCCCAGCGATCGCCAGAGACCAGGCCTGGTGACACTGTCCGGGAGGACGCAGCCGGGCGCGGCGGGACCGCGAGGTAGGGG